TTTGGATCAAAAGAAGGTGATTATTTGTAGAGATGTTCTCTTAGAGGAACCTGAAGATGAAGAAGCTTTGACAAATTCCCAAAAGAACCAATTAAAAGAGCAAAGGAAGAAGGATTCAAAGGCTCTCTCTTTTATTCAACAAGGAGTTTCAGAAGCAATCTTTCCAAGAATTATCAATGCAACAAAAGCGAAGGAGGCATGAGATATTCTTCAGAAAGAGTATAGAGGCAGGTTTATATGATTTTTTTAGTTTAATTTTGTGTTGATTTCGATAATGGGTTTGGTTGAAGTGTTTGATTTCTATGAAATTATGATATTCTTCATGTCAAAAATGGGTTTGAATTTCGTTTTATGGGTTTGATTTTCGAAATTATAATTTCTATGAAATTATAATATTGCCCAATGAAATGAAGCGCCATCACTTTCAGAAAAATAAATTTGATTTTTTTTTTCCAGTTAGTTGAATCATCTATTCCTACTCATCAATATCTTTGTCCATATCAATTTCTAGTCCAAGGATGTAGGAGGCTCAATCCCTTTCAAGAAATAATTTCATTTTTTTTTCCAGCAGTTGAATTAGTCCATTTTATATTGCTGAGACTTTGTAAGCTCTCCGACCATACTCTGTTTTCTTTATTTCAATGGATGGCAGCATGTCAAGTACCTCATACCTGGTCAAAGAGAAACATGCCATGAAATTTCTAAAGAAACACAATAAATCAAGTAAAGCAATAGTGACATGATGTTAACAGAGGCTATATATGTATATATCTTTGCAGGGAAATGCATTATACACACAGCACATCATTGAACCACAAGAAAAGATTGCAAATTAGATGATTCAAGGCTATGGGGTCTCTTTCTTCCTATAGTTGTTGGCTCTGTTTGGTGTAATTTGTAGGTGCTAGGTATTATTTTTATTTTAAGAATTTGTGTGGGAGTGTATGTTTAAATTTTATGAAGTAAAAATAATCTATATTAGCCGGGGAAAGATTGATTATTGGAAAGCTGAGAAAGAGATACATTTAGTTTCTACTTTTTAATTATTAAATTTTAGTTTGAATTTAAATCTCTCAGAAGTTTAAAATTAATACTATTCCAATCCATATAGAATACTACTTTAAATCTCTCATTTTTCCATGGTATGGAAAGCTTTGATTTGCTGAAATTATGTGTACACCTTGTTTTCAAATTTGTAGATTCCGCTAAGTGGGCAACATTCCATATTGGGGAGGGCAGTGGTTGTGCATGCAGATCCTGATGATCTTGGGAGAGGTATGGTTCATTCTTTGCATCTTATGTCATATTACAATGCCTATAGTTAATAAAAATAAGGCCTATAAAAAAAATAAAAATCAATGTTTTACTATCTAAAAAAAAAAAAACCAATATTTTAAAACTTAGATGTTATAGTTAATAAAATAAATAATCAATTGAGTTAGCTCAATTGGCCTCTTTTGTGTACATTTTGACTAAGAGAGGTGGTAAGGGAAGGATGGAGGGAGAAAAGAGGGAGAAATTTGGTTTGGCATATTACTTCACTACTGATAGGAGATGAATGAATTTATAGTGGCTCTAAGACATTAGTTTGTGTGTTTCTCTCTCTCTCTCTCTCTCTCTCTCTCTCTCTCTCTCTCTCTCTCTCTACGTGTATTTGTTTGTGTGGCTCTAAGAAGGCCCATAAACTAAGAAGGCCCATAAACTATCACAAGAATGGGGCAACATTCCTGTCATGTACCATCTAATGAGCATTCTCTTGAAATTTGTATGCTATTCCAAAATACCTATCTATTTAACTTTCCAATGGTGGAGTTCTCGACTTGAAACTAAATTTGTTGCAATTGGACCTCCAATTACATGACCGAAGAAGAATATCTGGGCAAATATGTCCATTGGAGTATCAAGCATTCCATTCTCAAAATAATTATGCTGCCAGGTTGGTGTCAAAGTTCCTTGCAAATTTCCTTGATCTTGTTTATTCTGAAATGTGTTTTAGGATGTCACATGGAAGTGAAATGGTTTTCTCTTTTAGTTTGCATTGAATTTTTGAGTCGATTTAAACATTTCAACACATTCTTCATTGGAATCAGCAAAATTGATGAAGAAAATGAAAATCAGGTTCTTCATTGAAAAAAAAAAAAAACAAACAAACAAACCGAGCAATGTATTTCCTTGCTGAATGACATGAACAAAAGAATGTTCTGATTTTATTTCCTTCTTGTTTCCCTACTGTTGCTATACCATACATAAGTTGACTAGTCTATATTTGATATGTGCTTTATTTATGAATTAATTTTTGTATATGTGGTATTGCTTTTCAAATTCTGTCCCAAGGCCACTAAAGAATAGATGGAGCAATGAAGAATTAATGCTTGCTACTAGGACTGGAGGAGTAACTCGTCTTCGACACGATTTAAAACTCTGCAGTGCATACCTTGGAGTTCATGTAAGATTTCTGAGTCATAGTTATATTTCCTTGCATGCCTAGTTTGACACGAATTTACTTAATTAGCTTGTCATATGAATTGAATTTGCATGTATTTTAACTAGGATATGAAAATGTATTGGCGGGTAATTGTCTGTCTCACACAATGTCGAATACGCCCTAAACGTAGTCAAAAAAGGGCGTTTTGGGGGCGAAAAGTCAAAACAGCCCCCAAACCACCATGTGGCTCAGAAAAACAGTTCCCCCATGACAAATAGGACTTGTGAGAATTGACGGAACGTAATTCGGACCCGTAGGTTGGGAGTTAGAGCAGAATACACCCTAAACTTAGTCGAAAAAGGACGTTTCGGGGGCGAAAATTGAAAACAGCCCCCAAACCGCCGTATGGCCGACACGAACACCTTCCCCATGCCAAATAGGACTTGTGACAAATGACGAAATGTTATTCGGACCCATAGGTTGGGATTTAGAGACGAATACGCCCAAAACTTAGTCGAAAAATGGCATTTCGGGGGCGAAAATTCAAAACAGCCCTTGATCCGCATTGTGGCCGACACGAACAGCTTCCCCATGCCAAATATGACTTGTGACAACTAACGGAATGTTATTCGGACCTGTAGGTTGAGAAAATGCAACTTTTAATATTGCATGGTTACAAATGCCAATACAAAACAAGGAATGCTAGGATCATATAAATGTTCGTGATAAATGAGGGAAAATATGTCACTTCATCTTCTCATTATGTGAATATTGTGTTAATGCTTACAAATTTTCTCAGTGCATGTCGAATATCTAATTCTAGTGTCTGTCTGGATTAATTGGGGGTGAATTGAGATGATTCCCTGTTTACAAGTATCCCATACTTTTTGGGTATTTTAAAACAGACAGTTTTAATAGAAAATATATCCAAAATGATGTGTTAATGATATTTATAAAAATTATGGGGACAACTGTGAAAAATGTGTTGAAATCGATAACAAGTGTTTCATGTTCTTGCTGTTTTTTCCCCCTCGTGTCCTGGTTGATTTTCTTCTTTCTTCTTATCCAAAACATGATGCGATGGTCTAAAACAACTGGTTAGGTAACTGTCATGATTATATTAATAAAAAAGTCCAGTCCAAGTATTGACAAAGAAAAAGCTCTTTATAATATCTTCCCAGCATGAGTATTTTTGTTAAATGTTTTATCAAGCTCAAGTTCAATTTTTTTATCAAGCTCCCTCGATGGCACATGCAAGGTTACTTAATCATGTTAAATGTTTCATAATAATATCTTCCTAGCATGAGTATTTTTGTTTCTCGAAATGACTTATTTTCGTATCGTAGGTATGGGACCTTGTTACTGGAAGATTTTTACAAACTCGAGCTTTTCCATTACCAATTACTGCAATAGTTGTTGATCCAATAGAGATGAAGTTATTTTCTGGTGGTATAGATTACTAGTGGATATTTCTTTTTTGCATACGGAGGACATCATTTTTGTATGATTATCTGTTTGTATGGAATTATTATTTTGGGTTGGATTATATTTGGTTTGTATAGAATTTGATGTTACAAGACCACATTTTTGGATGGTTGAAAGTGAAATAGAATATGTGTTGTTTTGTTTATATACAGGGTGCAGGTTGTGCAGAAATTACTAATAATAATAATAATAAATAACACTAAATAAAGTTTTTGGTGACTAAATGTTTAGTAGCCAAAAAAACAAAATAAAACTTGTTGGCTACTAAAAATTTAGTAGCCAAAAACAAACCAAAGATTTTTTGGCGACTAAAAATTTAGTAGTAAAAAATATATGAGACTTTAGGCGACTAAACAGTTTAGTAGCTAAAAAAAAATATGAAAATTAATTTTTTTGGTGACTAAAAATTTAGTAGCTAATAATAAATGATACTTTAGGCGACTAAAAGTTTTAGTCGTTGAAAATGAAAATTAATTTTATTTGAAAACTTTTGGCGACTAAATATTTAGTCGCCAATATATGACTTTTGGCAGCTAAAAAATATTTAGTCGCCAATACCTCGCACTTTTCCCTACTAAAATATTAGTAGCAATTTATAGGATTTTTGGCAACTAAATTTTTTTTAGTCGCCAAAACCTTCCCCGACCGTTTTCCCGCGACAAATCTAGTGAACAAAATATTTAGTCGGGAAAAGGCTTCGGCGACTAAAAACCTTACTTTTGGCGACTAAAACTTTAGTCGCCAAAAGTGCATTTTCTTGTAGTGATGGAACCTAGATTTATTGAAGAATAATGCTATAATAATAATTTCTTTTTGCTACATTGTATATACTATTTAATGTATATGATGTAATACACATTGATTAAATATTAATAATATTTATGTGAGTTCCACTGTTATCCTTAATATCAAATTAATGAATGTGTTAAAGTTGACATTGTGTTAAAAAGGTCACGAGTAACAAATGGTAAAAATAAGATTATTTTTGTGTGTTAAGTGTTTATTAATTTAATTAATAAATAATTATTTCAATAGAAATAAAATGTATTAAATGTCTATTTTACAATCGTTGTCTACTTGAATGTGTATAAATATCATTGTCTTGTCTATATATAAAAATTGAAATGAATAATGTTAGGAAAAAGAAAAGAAAATTGTACTTGTCAACCTTACCACATGCATTGAGGCACCGAACTGTTTCATTGGAGGTGGAAGTAGGAATTATAATTTTTTTTCCATCCACATGAGAAAATGGAGTGGGATGATTTTTATTCCTGGTTCTCATTATTTTTATTAATATATATAGTTTTAATATAATAAAATTAAAATATTAAAATATTACACTTAACATTCATTTTCACTTATTTATTTATCATCTTATATCTTTTAACTTTCATTAATTATCAATCATTCACTATAACAAAATGCACCTTTGGCGACTAAAATTTTTTTGGCGACTAAACATTTATACGACTTTTGGCGACTAAATATCTTTTAGTCGCCAATGCCTTCTCCGACAATCTTCTCCTGACAAATCCGGCGACCAAAATATTTAGTCGGGAAAAATTTTTGGCGACTAAAATCTTACTTTTAGCGACTAAAAATTTAATTGCCAAAAGTACAATTTCTTGTAGTGATTATTCATAACTTTTATTAGTATCTCTATTTTTAAAGTTACAAACTTAATCCATCCCCACCCCGCTTTGCCCCCATCCTGCCATCTCCCTAATTTGCTCTGTCCCAATATGATACAAGGTAAGGACTGTTAGAAAATATTTTGCACTAATATAATTTAATTAATAAAATGATTAATAGATTTACGATAAATAAAATATGAAAGTAAGTAAATTTACTAAGAGTAAGAAGGAGTTGGCCTGTCAGATTGAGAGACGTGTAGTCACTATACTAAAACCATTGTTCCTTCCCACATGAAGATACAATAAGAGTGCGACGGCTATAAAGTACTACCCAAGTGCTCATAACCTTCCTTATTCGATGTTTACGTTCACCAAAAGGATATGAACGAGTCATGAATCAAAGTAACCTTAAATACCGAAGACACATAAACAATACTCTTCAAAAAAATCTCACTATTTACTATATTTATGTATGCTCTTGTGTGATTGTTCTCAAATATTTAAGAAGAAAAATGCTTATATAGGTGAAAATCTCATAAGAATTAATACATAACAATTAATTATTACATAATTATAATAATAAAATCTAATAATATTTTGTAATCAAAATGTTTAAAATCAATATTAATATTAATAATGATCGAACAAATTAAATAAAAATAATTAATTTTATTTTTATTAAAACTTCAACAAGGACATGGCATTGCAAACTACTATGGCTTCGTTTGGGAAGTGGGTTGGCTTTTTGACTTTTTTAGTTATTTTAGCCTGGGGCTAAAAAGTTTGGTTTGGGAAGGGCTTTTAGCTTTTTTGATTTTTTTGTAAGAAAAAGAATGTAATGATTATGGATTAGATGTGATGTTTTGTCTTATTAGACTAAAAATCCTGTTTTGTTTTTTGTGATTATTTTAACCAAAAAGCCCACAAAACCTTCTTCCCAAACATAGGCTATGTTGCCATCCCTGCTGAATTGAATCTTTTTTGATAGTTGTATATATTATCTTGTCAACTCTAGTCCCAACCAATTATGTCATATCAGTAAAAGTGTGGACCTAAGATCATTTCTAACATTTTATCTTTTCTTTTACCAAATTTAAATTTGATAAAATAAAACTTATGAAAATCATATTCTAATGTTGTTATCAGTTTGATATCAAATTAAGGGTGGCTAAAAGTTTTCATCAAATTGAGAATGAGTGAAATCTTTTATCAACTTATTATAGATATCCGTTAATGTAAGAGCACTGCACGACTGGCCGATTGTCCCCGCAGACATCCACTTTTTTTACAATTTACATTGGCTGGTTGACCAGCCAGACATCAGCCCGGTCGTCCGCCTGATCAACTGGTGATTTGATGAAAAATCAAAAACCACCATTGGACCATGCGATATCAAATGAAATTTTTACTCAAATTTAATGAAAATAAATGAGTAAATGTTGGAGATGCCCTAAGGTCCTACTTTGTCAAGACTTATCTTCTCTTGAAAGTCAACCATCAAAAGACATATTCCCTTTGTCTTATCCATTTGTCTTCTATGCTATTATTAAGTGAATGTCTAAATTGGTTTAGTGAAACATTCTTCTTCTTGTGTCGTGTGTCAATTTTATATATGCTAAAATAAAAAAATTATTATACACAATGTAAGTAAGTTTTGAACCCAAGACCTTTGATTTCATTAAGAACAGACTTATCACTTAAGTAATATAAATAATATGATATTAAATTTTTTATTATTAGTTATCTAAATTGCATACGCGTCGCGTGTGCTACCCACTAGTTTTTATAATCTTGTTTGAAAAAATTTAACTTTTTAAGGAGATAAGTAATTATTATATTTAAATTCAAATTTTAAAATATTAATTTAAAAAATATTTTTTATTCGGCAGGCTTACTTGAATCAAATATTGATATGGGATCTATTAATAATCATACAAATTCACTTTCAAAAAGCTTTCTATACATGCAATCTGTTTGGTTCAAGTCACTCAAATATTGATTATTTGAGAGTGACTTGAATCAAAGGCAGGCTTACTTGAATCAAATATTGATATGGGATCTATTAATAATCATACAAATTCACTTTCAAAAAGCTTTCTATACATGCAATCTGTTTGGTTCAAGTCACTCAAATATTGATTATTTGAGAGTGACTTGAATCAAAGGCAGGCTTACTTGAATCAAATATTGATATGGGATCTATTAATAATCATACAAATTCACTTTCAAAAAGCTTTCTATACATGCAATCTGTTTGGTTCAAGTCACTCAAATATTGATTATTTGAGAGTGACTTGAATCAAAGGCAGGCTTACTTGAATCAAATATTGATATGGGATCTATTAATAATCATACAAATTCACTTTCAAAAAGCTTTCTATACATGCAATCTGTTTGGTTCAAGTCACTCAAATATTGATTATTTGAGAGTGACTTGAATCAAAGGCAGGCTTACTTGAATCAAATATTGATATGGGATCTATTAATAATCATACAAATTCACTTTCAAAAAGCTTTCTATACATGCAATCTGTTTGGTTCAAGTCACTCAAATATTGATTATTTGAGAGTGACTTGAATCAAAGGCAGGCTTACTTGAATCAAATATTGATATGGGATCTATTAATAATCATACAAATTCACTTTCAAATAGCTTTCTATACATGCAATCTGTTTGGTTCAAGTCACTCAAATATTGATTATTTGAGAGTGACTTGAATCAAAGGCAAGCTTACTTGAATCAAATATTGATATGGGATCTATTAATAATCATACAAATTCACTTTCAAATAGCATTCTATACATGCAATCTGTTTGGTTCAAGTCACTCAAATATTGACTAATCACTTTCAGATAACGAATCTGTTTGGTTCAAGTCACTCAAATATATATCATGCTCAAATATCATGCTCAAATATCTGTTTCTAAGTCTGAACATTTGGGTGTTTAAGTCTGAACATTTTAAGTCTAAACATATGTTTGGTTGAAGTCACTTAATCAGTTTTGGGTGTTCAAGTCACTTAATCACTCAAGTCACATAAGTCCATACAAATTAAGTTTGTTCAGATGTAACTCAAATCCAGATATTTTTGTCTGTAATTGCAAAAAAAATTATTGTTCGAATCAATATCAAAGCCAAAGCCATTGAAAAAATTATTGTTCGGATGTAGAGTTGTCATGAATTTTCTTGAATTATTTTTTCTTTGTTTGTTTTAATTTAACTTGTTCACAGAGATGTTGTCTGGAATTGCAATATGTTAGCTTCACTTGTCTCCTTATTTGATTCCATAGCATTAGATAAAGATAATTGTTTGTAAGATAATTGTTTGTACTCTAAAATTTTGTATTCTATTTAACTTTGAAGGTACAATGGATATTGATTCGAACAATAATTTTTTCAATGGGAGTGACGAAGTTGAAGAAGAAGATAACAGTCTTTCATTTAATGAGTGTGGTGAAGTTGAAGAACCTAAGAAGGGAATGTATTTTAGCTCAAAAAAAGAGGTGTACGCATTTTATGCAAAATATGCCAAACAATCGGGATTTGCTATAGCTTATAGAAAACAAAATTTAACATGTGATGGGGAAGTTAAGTACTTTGGAATTGAATGTACTAGGGCGCGGAACAGAACAAAAAGATCATAAATAAATCCCTCGCAACCATCTTTGTCATCAAAAATTGAGTGTAAAGCAAGGGTAAGAGCCAGTCTACAAAATGATGGAACATATAAGTTAACCACAGTTGTGCTTGAGCACACTCATGATTTGGTTGTTACTGACTCACAGCATTTTGCAATGAATAAGAGGATTGTTACGTCGGTGAACGATGCAGTAAGGATTGGGGTGGCTAAGAATTTTCATTCCATAGTTGTTGAAGCGGAGGGATATGAGGCATTAATGTTTGATGAACGAGATGCAAGGAATTATATCAACAATGCTAGAAGGTTGAGACTTGGGGTAGGAGATGCCGAATCAGTTACACATTATTTTCATAAAATGCAACAACAAAATTCAAACTTTTATTCGGCAATTGACCTTGATGAAGATGGTCACATGCGCAACTTGTTCTGGGCGGATGCAAGGAGTAGGGCAGCTTACAAAGCATTTGGGGATGTTGTCTCTTTTGACACAACCTATTTGACAAACAAATATGACATGCCATTTGCTCCATTTGTAGGAGTTAATCACCATGGACAGTCAATTTTGTTCGGTTGTGGGTTGTTAAGTAATGAGAACACGGAGACTTTTGTTTGGCTATTCAAAGAATGGTTAAGTTGTATGTCAGATGCTCTCCTAAAAGCGATAATAACTGACCAGTGCAGAGCTATGCAAAATGCCATAGAAATTGTCTTCCCATAGGTTCAACATTGTTGGTGTTTATGGCATATTATGAAGAAAATTTCCGAGAAATTGAGAGGATATTCGCAATATAAGTCCATTAAGGTTTCTTTCAGTAATGCAGTTTATGATTCATTTACAATAGATGAATTTGAGGAATACTGGGAAGCAATGATTGAAAATTTCAATTTGAATGATAACGAGTGGTTAGGGGTATTACACCGTGAGCGACATAGGTGGATTCCTGCCTATGTTAAAGACATATTTTGGGCTGTCATGTCAACTACACAATGAAGTGAGAGTATGAATGCATTCTTTGATGGATATGTGAACTCCAAGACAACCTTGAAGCAATTTGTTGAGCAGTATGACAATGCGTTGAGAAGTAAGGTAGAGAAGGAGACAAAAGCAGATTTTAAGTTTCGTAACAAATTGTATGATTGTTTAACGGTGTATCGTTTTGAGAAGCAATTTCGTGTAGCTTACACTAATTCCAAATTTAAAGAAGTTCAACTAGAAATGAAGCGTCTAGTGTATTGTCGTGCAAATCTTATCAAACAGGAGGGAGCAATTTGTACCTATCATGTGAGGGAGGCTATTGTTGTGGGTGAGGGGATAAAGAAAGTGGAATTTGTTGTGTACTTTAATTCAACTGAATGTGAGCTCCTTTGTATGTCTCGGTTGTTTGAGTTTAGAGGTATTATGTGTGCACATTCACTTTCTGTGCTCATTGAGAGATCCATATATGAGGTGCCAACTAAATGCATTGTTTCGAGATGGAGAAAAGACTTGGAAAGAGGCTACACGTGCATTCCAACCACATATACTAACTTTGGCTCTTCTCCACATCCAAAGTTGCATGATAACTATCATAACACGTTGGATGAGATCCTAGATCTTGCTACCAATGATGATGCTAAACACAAAGTGATTCAACTTGGGTTGATGAAAATCAAGGATGAAGTAAGAACAGTTCAATCAAGTAGTGCAAGTAATGTGCCATGTACTAGTACTTTACCACCTTCAAGTAGTACTTTACCACCTTCCCATACTTCATCAAAAAGTCCGCCTCGTATCAATACTACAACAGAAAGCATGACTCGCAAGGTACGAAGTCCTTTGGTTGCTCGCCGAAGAGGCCGTCCATGTACGAAACGGAAGGTTAGCAAGATTGATGCAATAGTCAATCGATTGAAGGGAAAGAATAAGAAGGTGCGTCAAGGTGAACCTCGTAAGTTAAGCTTTCCTTGTATGGGAGGCGTGCAACACACTATGTATGAACCAGTACGTGTTAAATATGAAGGTTGTTTGGGGTTTTTTATTTTGACTTTTAATTTTACTGCTTGAAATTAGTAATTTACTTGTGTTACTATTTCATCATTAGGTGCCGCAAAGTCAACATTACTATCGTCCTTCTATGAATGCCATAGCAGACCCTTTCCTTATATGTGTTCAACGGACTTAATATATTGCACTTTGTTTGTGGATGCCATAGCAGACCCTTTCCCTGAATATGTTTGTGGAATTTTTTTTTATTATTTACTTTATTTTTACAGGCACCAGTTACCACAAGTGGGGACGACATTAGGAGAACATCTCACCAAGAAGCTGGAATGGTCAACAATATTAGCAGTCAAAGATCGATAGTACCGTCATGTTTTGTTAACTTGAATATCAACGGGGATCCGAATGTCCCATTTTTTTTTTAGTTTCGAAGTGGTAATTGTACGTGAATTTCATTTGTAAACTTCCGATTGTTCACTTGAATGTCCCATATGTTTGAGTTCAATGAAGTGAATGTCCCATATGTTATGGCATTGATGATAAATTTCTGGATCTGGTTTCAATTATTAATTTGTGAATCACAGTAATGATGCATGTGCTCGTTAGCCTATTTTACTTATTTATTTATTATTTTACTCATTTGGTTGTCTTGAGAAAATATCATATGCTTTGTGGTGTACCATCACCTACAATGCAAACCTGAGTCATTTGCAATGCTAACCATCACATACAATGCAAACCATACACACTGTTAAGAAATGACCCTGTTAATAAATGCGAACCATGAACAGATTGTTCAACATCACATACAATACACTGTTATTAGTATGCCATCATATACACTGTTAAGAAATGCCCCTATTCATTCAACAAATTTCACACATTGTCAAGTTCAATCTGTTCAACCTGTTATACGCATTCAACCTGTTCAACAAATTTTTCCAAGACCCTGTTAATCATTCAAGAACCTGTTAATCAACAGATTTCATGCCAAGTTCATAGCATCAGATTTCAACCTTTAACCTGTTAATCAACCTTCAACTTGAAGAACCTGTTAATCATTCAAGAACCTGTTAATCAACCTTCACGCTGTTCAAGCTGTTCATTGAACACCTTGTTATTCAACATGTTCAACCTGTTCATTGAACACATTTCAATTCAACCTGTTCAACCATTGTCCAAAAAGATATACTGTCAAGCACTTGTTAAGTCAACACATTGTTAATCAATACACCTGTTTTTTCAAACCATCACATATAATGCACACTGTTAAGCAATCAACATAATTCAACAGATTTCACACACTATTCATTCAATACATTTCATTTCAAACAAACCTGTTATACACTTGTTTTTTCAAACCATCAGATTTTTAAGCACAAAAAAAAAATTACAAAACAAGTAGAAAAGTAGATTACATTCATAGCATGTCCCAAAACCTAACAACTGAGTCATTTACATGATAAAGTATAAAAATACACAAAATACAATGACATAAGTCATTGCCTTGAAAATCTTCTCCATCCTTTGAAGCCTTCTATCATGCTCACCAAGCCTTCTCCTTAGATCATTAATTTCTTCTGTTCTTGAATCTGTCCGAGGTCCAGCATTGGCACGGATTGTGGAGGTAATGTCGTCGTCGTCATCATCCGTGAACCACCTGAAGTAATTGCAATGTTCGTTTGTAGTCTACAATGGACAAGCATCAGTTAATCAATAATGGACAAATGAAATTTGTAAAAAGTAACAGATTCATTTATATAACAGGTACTTACATATTTTCTTGGGCAAACAAAATAGACACGTCCTTCATTTCCATTCTCATTGGTTCGTACTATACGCATGGAAGCTGTTCTTCTACAATTACAAAACCTTGGCTTTAATCTTATGTTCGTATTATTAGTAGAAGATGAAGCCATTTTGTTATCTGCATAAAAAATAGCAACAGATTTAACTACCGATTAGTAGAAGATGACGTCCTTCCTATTTTTTTTTATCTCTCAAGCTGTTTTACCTATTAGTAGAGGATGATGATTCAACTATACTTTACTATAGATAAGAAAGAAAGGAAACAAACACTAGGAATCCTGTAAATAAGAATCAGATTATGATGCCAAACTCTTCTTTGTGTTACTCAATGGTGATTCTTGGTCTTTCATGTTTCGCCTTTCCTGCAGTCTTAGGGCTTTGGAAATTCAAAAGGATTCACTACGCTGTGCAGCACAGATGCAACTCAGCAACAACTAAAGTTTACACCATTTCCTCAATATTTTTCTATGCAATCTGAAGTGATTAGGCTAAAACAATTTCTTTTTCACTTGCATTTCCAAAACACTCAAAAAGATGGATTCCTAGTGTTTGCCTATTCAATAATAGGTGCTTGACAGTGTATTTCTTTTTCACCATTTCTTTTTCACAAGCCTTGTTTGCCTATTCAATATGACCTCTCAGTTGCAGAGCCCAAAATTGTACTACTGATTCCAGCTATTTGAACTTGCCAAACCATCAAAACTAAATACCCCCAAATCCTAAACCATCAGTTGATGTATTTGATGAAAATACTTAAAAACTAAATATTATAACAGCTACTCTCTTGTAAATTACATCAATTCCAGCTATTTGATTCTAGTAAATTTCAATTTTTTGCTTTGAGAGTTAAATCAAAAATTTCAATTGCAGCCATTAACATCGACAATGGAGCTCACATTCTGCACCTGTGTTCTTCACCTCTACCTGTTCATCAAAGGTTGCTGAATTTCACTCAATATACACAGGTGTTCTTAACAGGTTCACCTGTGTTCTTAACAGCCATTAACATCTGGTGCACCTGTGTTCTTAACAGGTTTCTGAAATTCACTCAACATACACAGGTTGCTAAATTTAAATTACAGGTGTAAAGGCAAGTATAAAGGCACACTTAAATCAAAAAACTGAGAAGTTATATACAGGTATAAAGGCAAATCCCAGGTATAAATTGAGAAGTCATTTAAATTTCAATTTTTCAACATACACAGTGTGCAGAATGTGAACACAGAGTTCATTCTTGATCACAGGTATAAAGGTAAATCCCAAACCCTAACATATCACAAATTAAAGCCAATCCCAAACCCTAACACAAATAGCAAACAAAATCCAACCCCAAACACTCCCAATCGACTAATTTCTACAAAAATTGAAGCCAAACGTAAACCCTAACTTTGCGATTTCAGGTTTACCACAGATTCGCTGTCGCAGGCTCTCGTTCGTCCTTCGTCGTGGTTCGTCGTCCTCCTTCCTCCGTCGTGGTTCGTCTGCCTCTGCTGTCGTTCGTCCACCATCTCGTCGTCCGTCCACCATCTCGTCGTCCTTCGAACTCCTTCAAGAGACAGGTGAGAGAGACAAGAGGCGAGAGTGAAGAGATAGAGAGGAGAGAGGGATAAGGCGAGAGTGAAAGAGAGGTTTGTTGAGAGTGAGAGAGGTGAGAGAGGCGAGAGTGAACTACTGAGGCGGAGAGGGGAAGAGATCGAGAGGAGAGAGAAATTTAAACTTTCGAGCCATTCGAGCCCGAAACATTCAAGCTACGGATCATTTTTGTTCGCACAGTTTTATTTCTGATGTACCCAAAAAAAAAGGGTAAGTGAAAACTAGCCGCTTATAATTGGTCAAGATCAAATACAACCTGGTGGTCTAACCTGCAAATTATTTTCCTTTATGTATGTTTGGTTGTACAATTTAGGAATGGATTTAGAAAGGAAAAAGAAAAAGACAAGTGAAAAATGAATAAAATATATCTATATTTTATCTAGTTTCACACATTTTTTTCCTTTTCCTTTTCAAATCCTTTCTCAAATCTCCCAACTAAACACAGCGTTAGTCTTAGGATTTGGTTGGAAAGTTTGGTTGATTTTTTGAATTTTTAGACATTTTATTCAAGTTAAAAAATTTGTTTGAGTTGACTTTTTTGACTTTTATAAAAGAAAAATAAAATGATTATGATTTAGATATGATATTTTATCTTATTAAATTTTTAATTTATTTTGCTTTTTTGTGACTAATTTAGCCAAAAAACTTGATTAACTAATTAAACAAACGACACCTTAGGATAGTTACCTGTTTTTCTAGTTAGAAATAGCTTAAAAAATGTAATTGATTTGTAATATTTTTGTAAGGTTAATTACATAAAGAGGTTTTCAACTATTAGTAAAATCACTCTACTCCCATCATATGTGAATTTGTATACGACAATGCTACGTAGCTCAAATTTTGTGACTCAAAAGTGGCTCAAATGGCCAAAACGACGTCGTTTTGAGTACAGAACAACATAAAAATGGCCAAAACGACGTCGTTTTGGTCATTTGAGCCACTTTTGAGCCACAAAATTTGAGCTACGAGACGTTTTCCATTTGTATATTTGTCTCTCAACTATAAAAATATTTGCCTTTAAACCATCTCAAAAAATGATATATTTATATAATTTTCATAATTAAATGAGTTAATGTATACGAATTCATAAATAAGAAAATAAAGTAATATTTGCAAATAATTGAGAAAACTGTTATGTAATTAAGCCTTTTTGTAATGTGTAGATGCTAGATGAAAATATCCGGTACAAGTTTGATGATAACCACATGATATTTTGGAAAACCATGTTGTATGTACATTATTTGTACGTATACTATTTTAGTCCTCTTGGGCTTTCAAAAAACCGTGTTTTATGTACATTATTTATATACTTCTTTGAAATATTTCCATTTCAGAGGCTCACTTTACTTTTTTGGAAAATCTCAAATACGTAAGAAATGAAAAAACTAATTGGAAATCAATGATAATAGTGCTTAGAGCAGTTGATAGCTGGGCCTGACCCAAATCCCATTTATGTGATTTTTTTTTTTATATTTTTTATGTATTTTTTTTTTTTCTTCTTTTCTTTCCTTCCCGCTACAAATTTTTTTCACAAATCCATAATCTAAAACACCACAATCCAAACATAATTTAAAAAAACAAATATGTAGTACCACAACACATCAAGAAGATCATCACTTCTCTCACCCTTTATTTAGTCCTCTAGTCACTTCTATCTTCACTAATATCACGACTATTGATTAATTTTTTATTTTTCTTCCCTTGTTTCATTTCAAAGAGTTCCCTATATCAATAACAAATCGGTACTTCACATCCCTCTTTATCATCCGCTCTAAAGCTTCATTTATATACTCAATAGGAATTATTTCAATCTCTGGGTATATCTTCTGAGTTGCACAAAAATCCAACATCTCTTGTGTCTCTTTCGTTCCCCCCGTCCCGCTCCCGGATATGGTTTTCATACCTGCCAAAGAAACATGTTTATGTTTGAGTTCTCATTGGCGGAGAATTACTTTTCTCAGAAAATCACAATGCCTATTATTCTCTTAATTTTCAATTTTCAAGAACTATGTGATGAAAATACATACCCATTATCAGACTTATAGGATGGACCTTGATTTCACTTGGGACACCAACCAGGACGAAGGAGCCACTGGTTTTCAACAGTGGCATGTACTGATCAATCGGGTGATCCCCCGATGCTGAGTCGATAATAAAGTTGAGTGAATTAGCCATGGCCTGCATGAAATTAAAATGATGATTGTCAATTTATGGAAACTTTCATCGCTATAATTCTCACTTTTTTGCTAAGCTGTGAG